AATCTTTAAGATTTCGTCCTCTTCAGGCAGATCTGCCATTCCCAAGACATCTCAGCCTCTCCTATCCCCCACAACATCCTATTCCATTCCCTCCTAACATGGTAAAAAGCTATGCTGCTTCTAATTTCTGAGAATCTCAGCTTGAAAATGCTTTGCAGGGGAGTAACCAGCTGCTCTTAAACGGAGGGTGACTATGATATACCATTACACGGATATCCTATTAAATATTAACATATTGAGGTTAATAATAAGACGTGGCTCTCTCGCCTCATCATGAAGGCTGAATGACTTGCTTTAATGGCTCCTGACATCTTTGGGAAATACCTATTAATTTTTAGGCCAGTCGTTTCCATGGGCACAGTTATACACCAGCACTAGCTACATTTGCCATTGCTTGATTCTCCCAGCTCCCCTGGCTTCTCCATTCTCCTCTGCGGCAGAGGGACCAAGAGCATTGTTCCCTGAATATCTGCAGTAATTCTTCATTTTTTTTAAATGGAGGAGCTAAAAGAGGCTTGTAGGAGAGTGACTCAAGCTTAAGTCAGGAGGCTTGGATGGAAGCAATTGAATTTGTGGAAGCCTTATCTTCTTCTTTTTTATATTCTTCCAGATAGCATTGACTCCAAATAGCGAGGAAACGGAGAGCATTATGAAAAGTGTCCAGAAGGGCCACAGATATCACTTGCCCCTACCTTTTCTAATAATTCTGCCTCTGGGTGTCTCCAGCAGGTGACAAATATAGGTGTTGCAATGGATAGAACACGCAGTTGGTAGAACACTGGGCCTGGAGTCAAAAAGTCCTGAGTTCAGTTTCAAACTCATATATTTCCTAGCTGTGTGACCCTGGCAAGTCACTTAACCTCTGATTGCCTCAGTTTCCTCAGTTGTAAAACAGGGATAATAATAGTGTCTACCTCGCTGAGTTGTTGTGAGGATCGGATGACATAATGTTTTTAAAGTGTTTAGCACAGTGCTTGACACAGAGGAGGTGCTATATAAATGGTTATTCCTTTCCTGTCCTCCACCAGCCTATATACATGGTGCTTCCTCATTGAGGAGTGAGCTGACTGAAGTGCTGTTTTCTCTTAAAAGAGAGTTAAGAGAGTTTATTGGAAAGTACCCTGGTCTTTGGACAAGGGGACATGGGTTTGGATATTGATTCTAACATTGTCTGTATGACTCTGGGCAGATCACTCAATCATTTTGAAATCTGTGTCCCCATCTGTAAAAATGGTCAGAGTACTGCATTAGTTATGTCATAAGATTGTTTTGAGTTCTTGTGAGGATTGTCTCTAGTGCTTTGTAAACCTTAAAAGCCCTGAGATGCCCCCACAGTTAAGAGATATGATCTGGATGATGAGCTAGTAAGGCAAGCTAAGAAGGAGTGGTCACACAGGAGGAGAACCCGTGGTGATGAATCGTATTTATTGACTGCTGTTTGAATTTTAAGCTAAGGCTTTGAAGGTAGATGAAGAGGAGATGTTGCTTGGACCAATGCACAAGCGCAGATGCTAGCTGTGTAGAAGGGGAGAGGAGACAAAGACTTCTTTGGTTGGGGTAGAAAAATGATGACCACAGGCTGGCAGAGACTAAAAATGAATTAAAGACGAGATAGGGACTTCATTTATAAGAGATAGTGAAATCAGTGGCATTACTAGCAACAGAAAAGGAAAAATAGTCTTTGTTTTTAGGGCACAAACATACAGGTCAAGTGCTACTTTCCAGAATTAGTTTCTTTCTAGTAGTCACTGGCATGATTCGGTCTCAGGAAAAGAAATCATCACCTTCTGGACCTTCACCTAAATTGATCCTCCTTATAGAATCTTTGAGTCAAGAAGCCAGGGATTGTATGTCACCGCAGCACAGGCTAGGACCCACCGAAGACAAGCCCAGGTGTGCTGCTGCAGCTGTTGCCGGCGTTACCCTCTTTTTCCAGTGTCTCCCATGGGTACATCCTGTGTACAAGAACAGGGCCTCAGGCTTTCGTCTGACATTGCTTCACCAGCTCAGAATTCCACTTGAAAGCCTCAGGACGGGCTCTGGAACAAATATGCTGAGTGAGCTGCAAAGCTCCACCAGAGAGAAGGAGCTAATGGAAATTAATCCCTATTCCTGGACCTTCCGTTCTACATGACAGTTAGCCTCTGGGGATTTCTGCTTCTCTTCCCTGACTTAACTGCTTTTCTCTTAAAAGAACTGGAGTGAAATTGCTAAGAATCCCTGATACTTTGAAATATTTTCTGGCAATTAAGAAATGTGCATCGATAGATCTGGCATCTCATTGTTTGGGAACTATTTCCATTGCTGTAGAACAGTGGTTCTAAAATTTTTTGATCTTAGGACCCCTGTACACTCTTAAAAAGTATTGAAGAACTCAAAGAACTTTCATGGGTTATATCTATTAGTATTTATAGTTTTTGAAATGAAAACTGATGAATTTTAAAAAATATTCATTTAAAAATAACAATAATAAATCTATTACATGTAAAAATAAATAACACCTTTTAAAAAAATTTTTCCAAAGCAGAAAACATTTGATGAGAATAGTGGCATTGATTTACATATTTTTGCAAATCTCTTTAATGTCTGGCTTAATAGAAGGCGGCTGAATTCTCATATCAGCCTCTGCATTCAATCTGTTGTGATACATTGTTTTAATTTAAGTACATGAAGAAAATCTGTCTTCACATACATATATAGTAGGAAAAGGGAGGAATATTTTAATAGGCAAATAATGTGTTAGTATTAATATGAAAATAATTTAGTCATTGTGGACCCCCAAAAGAATCTCAGGAAACCCTGGGGGTCCTTAGATCACACTTTGAGAACCTTTGGTGTAGATCACCACTCTACCATTCTTCTCCTAAGCAAGTTTTGTCCATCTCCTCAGTAAGGGAATTCTTAAGGCCTATAATCAGGAAACTACCTATTTTTTTTTGTTTTAGGCAATGGGGTTAAGTGACTTGCCCAGGGTCACACAGCTAGTAAGTGTTATATGTCTGAGGTCACATTTGAACTCAGGTCCTCCTGAATCCAGGGCCAGTGCTCTATGCACTGTGCCACCTAGCTGCCCCAAAACTACCTATTTTAAACCCATAGGTTCTCAAGCTTTGTGTTGCATGTAAAGAATTCATTTGTCTGTTGAAAATAATACTGATCAGAGGGCAATTTGAGATATTTAAAACTGAGGTCACCTCTGAATTATATTAACCCAGTGAAGATTAAGTCTAGGTCTCTAAGCTAAAATTTCAGGATGAATTCCCTTACTCTGTATTAGTTGTGAAATAAACAGAGCCCCTTGCCAAGCAGTGGTAGGCAGGAGTCCCTCACTATGGAAAGAAGAAAAGGAGGCAGCTGGCTAGAGCTCTTTCCTCTAACATTTGGTAATCTACTTAACCTTTACAGTGTTGGACTGGGTGGCAGCAAGTGAAGTTTATCTGTTTGGGGGGGGAAGTGGGGGCAATCTCCTTCCTAGGAAAAGTTGAATGGTCTTATTGAGCTTCAGTATCCCCTCCCTCCCCACGTAAACACATCAGATTTTAAGCAAGTTACCAGAGACCCCTAAGGTACCATAAAGTCCTTCATTTAAAACCAGGATAACAGAAAGCCTAGAAACACAGTGTATTTTGCAAAGAGTAACGCAGCCTTGTCTGAAATTCACTTGGGGCTGCAGAATTTAAGTCAAGATACTGGCTAATATGTCTCTTTTGTGGGTATTTAAGGTTAGTATAGTCAACCCCACTTTTTCTTTTTCTACCTCATGCTTAGAATGAAAGGGTATAAGTTTCTACTTTATGTTTAGAGTGAGAGGGTATAAGTTTCAAGCACCCAACTATCTTGGAGTAGAAGGAAGGAAGCTCACTATTGTGAGCCAGCACAGACATCTGAGTCATGCCCTTGAAGTGGTTCTGGCGTGGCCACTTCAGAGAGATGGCTCTGCAACAATTGTGACCCTCTTGAGGTCATTTCCCAGTGGACCAAGCCACACTTGTCACATCTTTTGGAGCCCTGAGTCATCAAATCCATTTACACAGAAGTCAGTTGTCACAGGCTATTTACAAATTTAAGCAGGGTGGTTTTTTTCTCTCTTTTGTTCTCTTATACCTCTTCCTTTTCCAACTCTTTTCTTTCTCTTTTCCAGTTATCTTCTTCCATCTCCTTTCCCCCCTTCCTGTCCTTATCATTCTCCTTTCTTCTCCCTCTCCTGTTCTGCTTCCCTTCCTTTTCTCTTCAGACTAAGCCAACCATTTAAAGGTCTATTATCTGCTTCATTCTTTGTCAGAATCCATACAACCCCTGAATGAAATCATGTCTTTGTCCAAAGGGATTCCTTCTCGTTTCCTTCCTCAACTCTTTCTTGGTCCTGCTCCATGGTATATCCTAGAAAATAAGTCCATAGTTACTAAAGAATGAACAGAGTTGAGAAATTACAGGTTGAAGAACTGCTCCCTGCCCAAGGAAGTGATTTTCTTTGTTAGCATTAAGAACTGACTTAATTCTTTGCAATGTATAATCCAGTACCAGTGAGGAGTCAAGCTTCTTTAACCCTTCACTTCTCTCTGTCTCTAAGATGTTAGCTTTTAAAAAAAATCAGTGCAGTCAATTACTTGAGCACTGAGGGTATTATACTTGGTGAATTCCCAGGAGAAAAGGAATCATATAGAGGAAATAGCGTATGGGGACTAAAGGAGTCCGTACACTTTGTTGCAACAGTTCTGAGCATTGGTGGCCAATGAGTACAGACTCAAAAGCAACTAAGTGGTTGGATTTCTATTTGTGATATGGTACCCAGGAACCACCATTGTGTAGTCAAGAAGCTAATAGCTTCATTACCTTGGCACTAATGACATATGAGCCTCTGTTTGCTAAGAGAATGACCTGGATTATGGCTATCAAATATTCTCATGCAGGTTATAGACATGGCACAAACCTCCTCCACCTGGTCCACTGGTCCTCAGCAGCCTTGTGATACCATACCTGGCATTCATCTCCTTTTGCAGATGAGCGGGAAGTTGTGCAGAAGAAGACGTTTACGAAATGGGTGAACTCACACCTAGCACGTGTGTCCTGCCGTATTGCTGACCTCTACAAGGACCTGCGGGATGGAAGGATGCTTATCAAACTTCTGGAAGTCCTCTCAGGAGAGATGCTGGTAAGGCTTCTCAGATTTGCCCTGTCTTGCTTTCATCAGGCTGCTTGTCCAAAGGGGTTGACTTTTTATTTTTAATTATTATTAAAGAGGGACAGATTTATGTGCTTTCTCAAGTCATTATGATCCTAAGAAACTTGCCCATCTCTTTTTCCTGGAAATTACTCCAAAACTAGAGCAAAAAGGGGAAACCTTATTTAAGGAAGTGTCCTGACCAATTCCCCCCACCATGTTTGGAAATATTTAATATACTGACTTCATATTAAGGGACAGCTAGGTGATATGGTGGATAGAATGCTAGACTTGAAGTCAAGAAGACCTGAGTTCAAATCTCGCCTCAAACATTTACTAGCTGTGTGACTCTGGTTAAGTCACTTAAATTCTCAGTCCCAATTTCCATATCTGTAAAATGAGGATAATAATAGTATCTACTTCCCAGGGATGTTATGAAGATAAAATGAATTAATCTGTGTAAAGCACTTGGCTAACCTCAAAGCACTGAAAGCTAGTTCTTATTATGACCACCTAACCCTCTCCTCTTCTGTCCTCTTCTTGTGGTCACTTTCCTTCACTCAGTAGAACAAGGTGCCAGATTATAGATGTTTTAGACCGACTTTTCTTAACTTGAGACCTGGCCAGGATCTTTTGCTTCCTAACCTTGGCTAGCCTTGACCACCATATGAACAGCCTATTGCATTAGCATTATGAAATTCAACTAGACATTTTGAGATTATTGTTCTTCTTGGGTTTGGGAATTGAAACTTTTTGAAAGATGTCAGCAGTAATATCATCTAATTTCAGTTATAATCCAATAATTTTGAGGTCATAATAGTTATTCTAGGTCTATTCTAAGTATTTTCACTGACTTGCTTCATGACCTTGTATAGATCATAATGTGCCTCAGTTTTCCATCTATAAAATGGAGTGAATAACAAGAGGTCCCATTTATCTAGCATGTTGAGGCTTATAAAACACTTTTTCCTCCGCAACCTCTAATTCCAAAAGCCCGTGTGACTTGGGATAACACAGGTCTCCTCCGTGGGTCACAGTTTCTCCATCTAAAATGAGGGTTAGATGGCCTCTAGAGGCCCTTCCAGATTTAAACATATGATCCTATGGACCCTATGATGTGAGTATTTCAAGCATTAATATTCCCATTTTATAGATGTGGAAACTGAGTCAGAGCTTGAGAGACTTGCCCATGGTCACACAACTAATGTCAGACTAATAAATGACACAGAGCTGGCACTAGGAGTAGGAGCCATAGATTTCCTTCTTGAGCACAGAATGGGGCAAGAGAAAAGGATATTATTGTTTGTAAATGCACATATTTTTAATGGCAAAAAAACCTGTTTTCCATGGGTTGTAGGTATTTCTTTTGTAAAAAATCGAGTCATGCATGTTACATTAAAGGCAACAGAGAGGGCTCCCAATTTTCAAACCTGTTTTAGGTATTTATAGACACTTTATCCAGGCTTTGCTTCATATATTCGAAAATTCTCCACATACTTTGCATGCAGTTAATAATCAACAGATGTTTTAATTGAGTTGAATCCCTACGAAACGGGAATGTGTGTGTGACATTTTTATGCTCCTCTTCGCCTTGTTAGATCATTCTTCCTCCTATCCTTTTTTTCGCCTCCAGATAGGATTCCTTGTCTTGCAGAACTGATGTAAAGCCTCCCCTGGAGTCAACACTAATTCTTTAGTTGTGGTCCTGAGAGATTAGAATGTAAGCTCCTTGAGGGCAGGGACTATTTGTTTTTGTCTTTATATCTTTAGTGCCTGATATAATATTTGACATATAGTAGGTGCTTAATAAATGCTTATTGAATTGAATTATTTCTGATTAGCCAGTACCACTGAGATTTGTAGCTGGTGGGGATCCCTGTGGAGACTTTACTTCACATACTCTTCATCTCTTGTGGTAAAGCCACAACAGGGAGCACTGAAGATGGGGATGAGGAGTTTTTTGATTGGCACAGATCTCGCTATCTCCAATATAAGAACTACTTTGTTATTCATCATCTAGTGTAGGAAGTTAGGACTAGACTCCAGGAAAGGTACCGAACTGTGCAAACAATGCTTTGAAGGAGCTGGGCAAGAAGAACCCTGAACCTTGTTGAAGGAAAAGGGTAGGATTTTTGGTAGTTCAGAGGAAAGGAAAGGATGTATTTAGGGTGGTTCATTAATATTAGTCAGACTGTTTTGCTTTTCCAATAGTATGGCTGCTTGAAAAAGTATACCATTAGCTCCTCTGTCCACTGCCAGTCTTACTTTAGTTACTGTCCATGTCTTCTCCCAGCCAAAGCCTACAAAAGGGAAGATGCGGATTCACTGCCTGGAGAATGTTGACAAAGCCCTGCAGTTCCTCAAGGAGCAGCGAGTACACCTGGAAAATATGGGTTCTCATGACATTGTAGATGGCAACCACCGCCTCGTCCTGGGTCTCATCTGGACCATCATTCTTCGCTTCCAGGTAACGTTTTGGGGGTGGAAAAAGAAGATTGGATTTATTGGACTGGGGTAGAAAGAGCAGCAGTTCATAGAACATTTGTCCAGGCTTGTACTTTCATTGAAGTAGAGGCATCTTAGGGACAGGTAGGTGATGCAGTGGAGAGAGCCCTGGACCTGGAATCAGAAAAATCTGAGTTCGAATCTGGCCTTAGACGCTTACTAGCTATGTGACTTTATTTGCTTCAGTTCGTCATCTGTAAAATGGGGGCACACTGGAGAAGGAATGGCAAGCCAATGTAGTACCTTTGCCAAGAGAACCCTGTGGACAAATCTGTGGGGTCATTAAGAGTTGAGAATGACCAAACAACTGAACGACAACAAAGGACATTCTGGTGAGGGAATTTATTCTACAATGCAAATTAGCAACTGTTCTACTCCTTTATAATCTTAGAAAGTCAGCTGGGAGAACCTGAGAGGTTAAGTGACTGTTCAGGGTCACATAGCCAATATAAAGTCAAAGACAGGACTTGGGGCCAACTCTTTATCCAGAATAGGGTAGCAAGGGATGCAGTCATTAGAAACCTGGGCCTGGAGTCAGGAAGACCTGAATTCAAATCCAGCCTCAGATACTTACTAGCTGTGTGACCCTGGGCAAGTCACTTAACACTTTTTGTCTCAGTTTCCTCTTTTATAAAATGAGCTAAAGAAGAAAATGACAAGCCATTCTAGCATCTTTGTCAAGAAAACCCCAAATAGGTCACAAAGAGTTGGGCATGACTGAAAACAAGTAGAGAGCAACAAAAAAAAAATTTTAAATGAATATACATATTTAATTACATATAGCCAGCAATTTATCCTCTGGAAAGAGTACTAGATTGGATATCAGCAGACCAGAGTTCAAATTCCAGCTCCAACATATACCGAGTTGTTTAACCTCAAGCAAATTACTTAATCTCTCTTCTTGACCTTGGTTCCCATATTTTTAAAATGGATACAATGATACTGGCACTGTCTACTTTATTATGTGAGGATCAAATATATGTAAAGTCCTTTGTGATATAAAATACTATTTTTTATAATTAATCTTTTATCATTATAGAAAACCCATACCAAGACAATGAAATTAGGGTTCACATGTCTGGCTTGCTGAGTGACCTGGTAATAAGACCTAGTTATTAAAGTCAATGATAAACCATGTTGCCAATCGCTGACTCTTTTGAGTGGGGATAAAAACAATACTAGCTATGTTACTGGTTGTTGGAAAGACTTTCTTTCTATCTTTTTTTTTATTTCTCCAGGTTTTTTCCTATCTCATCCTGAAATTCTAGAACCACAGTAGGCATAGGGGAATTTTGGAAGGAATAATGAGACAGAACCTTCAAGCCACTGGGTTGACTGTCTAATCCTGAGCAGTTCAAATTTGATAGTGTCTGGGAAAGAATGAGCTCCTTTAGGGGGGTAAAAGTATAGGGGAATGTTTTAAAGGTTAAGGAAAGAATAGAGATAACTGCTCAGCTTGAATTCAAAGAGCCCATTAGACCAGGAACTTAGACTACTAACTGATCTGATTTCACTCTCCATGGATGGATAAGATCCACAAAATAACACTAGAATCAGGAAGAGTGAAAAGGAAACAGGACTAATAGTTTAAACACAATCCATTCAGCTAGTGACTTTTTTCTGTGGCCCCGACTTTGTCCTTCCAAAGATGAGGGCTAGTGGCCCCTGTCCCAATTAGTTCTCAGCATCCCTTTCAAGTTCTTAAGTTAATGAAAGGCTCGGTCTTGCACAAGGAAAACTTCCCATTCCCATTACCAAAGGGGGCCATTGGTAATGATTTGAGGGTGAGCTATTATTTCTGTCTTGCTTATAGTTGGGATTTACACAGGTCAGGCAACCTCTACTATAGATCAGAATGAGAGAAGGAGAGAGTATACAGTAGAAATCAAGAAGCACAGAAAGAATCTCTCTTATTTTGTTCCTTCCATTGCCAGATCCAAGACATAGTTGTTCAGACTCAAGAGGGTCAGGAGACTCGCTCTGCTAAGGATGCACTACTGCTTTGGTGTCAAATGAAGACGTCAGGGTATGTTCTGTAAATGCCAGTCATTGACTTATTCCACACCCACCATCACCACTGCTGCCTTGCTCTCCTCAAAGCACTGTCCCCGAAGTACAAATGGCACAAACCTTTTCATCCCAAATGACCGAAAAGGAATTGGTGCAAAATCTATCCTTGCTTGTTGTATTGAGTCATGAATTATAGGGTTCTTCATCAAAATGGTCTGGTCTTTCTTTTAATGAGAAAGCACATGAGTCATTTGGTCCCTGGCCATTTGATGAGGAAGCATCCTTGTAATGGTTTAACTGATTGTTGTCTGATACTGAGGATGATTGGGAAGGGGGGATAAAGTCATTCTTTAAAACATGTGATGGTTCTCACATTTTGTACACGTATACATTTGAAAGTCCAATGAAGCCAATTTCTCACTTTTAAAAATGTTTCTCTTGGATGCAGGTATCCCCACGTCAATGTCACCAATTTTACCTCCAGCTGGAAGGATGGCCTGGCTTTTAATGCCTTGATTCACAAGCATCGGTAAGATGGGATCCTGTTGAGATATTTAATTAATTGGGGTGTATTGGAGCCTTCCACTTCACATACAAGTTATTGTTTGAAATCCATGTGAATTTTATACATTAGGAATTAGTCATTTTTAATACTCTCAGTACTCCCCCTTTCTTAAATGCCCATCACATCCTCTGCTCTCTTTCTTCCCATTCCTAATGTCATTATTGCTCCCTCTTGTTCTGTTCATTTTCCCCAGAGTGTCCCTTCTCCATCATTCTTGTAACCTCCACTTTCACTCCCATGCTGACTCCCTTTATCAGCTCGAGATCTGTCTCTTTCTGTGGGCAGGCTGAATCCCATGCTGTAGCTTTCCTGGTAGATGCAGATGCTATGGGGTCTCCTTTTTAATATTCTGGTTTCATTCCCAGGCCAGATCTGATTGACTTTGAGAAGCTGAAGGACTCCAATGCCCGGCACAACCTGGAACATGCATTTGATGTGGCAGAAAGGCAACTGGGTATCATCCCACTCCTTGACCCAGAAGGTAAACCAGAAATACTCTCTCAACTTCCATCCTGCTTCCAGACCAATTCCTTCATTGCATCCCAGAGTTATAACTAGGAATATTTTCACTAGGGTGAAAAATGGCTGGGGATGGAGTACAGAGGGCAATCTGGCTATAGATACATTTACATGAGGGGAGGAGGCAGTTCAATTTTTACCACTTTGGAGGTTGAAGGATAAGGTGGGTTTGTTGAGAAAGAGATTGAGACCATGGAAGCAGTAAGGTCACCCAGAATCTGTTGTGTCGTGTAGCTGAGTACCGTGAGATATGGGGACGGTAATCACCACAGGGAGAAAGCGTGCACCACCAGGTGTTGGAGCCTTGGAGCAAAGCCCTGTATCTCCATATAAATGACAGCTTTAGGTAGACAGGGTCTCAACCAGAGCTTACTTCTGACCCTTCCTGGAATAGCAATTTACACTTAAAATGGGCAGTTCCTCAGTTCTGGGTGCAGAGTGAGCCCTGAGAGCCCACATGGTCGCACCTTATACTTGTGTGTGACTTAGGGTCTGATACATAGTGCAACTCAGGAAGTCCTTCCCAACCTTGATCTATTGCGAAGTGTATTGACCCTCCTCTTTTGTTATAGAATTGCTTTCCTTTTGGATTTTTTATTTCCTGTCTCTAAAACCACAAACCCAGTTCTCCCCCATTCTCGTTCTTTGATGTTTCCTTGGAGCCTGTCGTCAATTCTGTGATCCACAACTATAGTGAGCTTTGTGATATAGGAGCAAGGTGACTTTTAGGATGGATACCTTATAATAAGCCTGATTTTTCCTGGGCTTCTAGTTTTTTCTTCTAATTGAATTTTTCCCATAATTGAATTTTCCTCTAATTGCTATAAGAAGGCTGGTCACTTTTTTCTTGCAGATGTCTTCACAGAGAATCCTGATGAGAAATCCATCATTACCTATGTGGTGGCATTTTACCATTATTTCTCCAAGATGAAGGTGCTGGCTGTGGAGGGCAAGCGTGTTGGCAAGGTATGGACCAGACAGAAAACTGTAGTGAATCACCTTCTCCCCTTTCTTATTAGACTCACAATGGAGCCAAACCCAATTCAAAGTCTAGGAATTTCTGTGACTTATACTCCTTTCTTCCCTTTTATTTTGATAATGACCCTTGGGTTATCACAGAGTTAAACAGTATGGTTTCCCTGTGTGGGACATGCTTTGCTTGGGTTCTAGTTATGATGGATCAGCAGAGGCTCATGATGGAAGGTGGCTTATTTTTATCTTCAGTGCTGGTACGGACTCTTTCCACCTTTGCTAAACCCATCCATAACTACGCTGACAAGACTCCAAAGCTGAATTCTCTCAGTTTCACATCTTGTCCTAAAAGACATCATAGTCTGCAGTTCTGAGGCCCCTTGTACCATGGAAAGCCAAGTTCTATGGGAATAATATTGCTTACCGACCTGCCACACCCCTCTAGTATTATGAATTTTTTTCTTATGATTTTCTAGCTGTTAGGCCCTTACAGTGTGCTAGGCATTGTGTAGATGGTCTGTGTCATGATTGCTGCTCTCTACTGGTGAGCCACACATGTGTTTTCCCCAAGGGTTACTTCCTTCTGGATACTGACAGACTTGAGTTTTTTCTGATTGTGTCAGTGAAAACGAAGCAAGACATGTCTGGCCTTCAGTTTACTTTCCTTGCTTCACGCAGGAGTAATGAGCTAAATGCATGCAACCCAGTAGAGAAATGGTTTCCCTCTCATAGCTTGGTGCATAATCTGCCTAAAAGGAGGTAAACCATTGCAAAGGATTCCCTGATTGTGATTGCCACGAATGGTGTAATCCATTCATGAATATCATTATTTTCAATAATAATAATAATAATGATGATGATGCCAATGTCCATGCTGTTTATAATTACCAGGTGATCGACCATGCCATTGAAACTGAGAAGATGATTGAAAAATACAGTGGGCTGGCCTCTGATCTGCTTACCTGGATTGAGCAGACTATTACTGTCCTCAACAGCCGCAAATTTGCCAACTCCCTGAGTGGGTTACAGCAGCAGTTGCAATCTTTCAGCACCTACCGTACTGTGGAGAAGCCACCCAAGTAAGGGTCATATCTGCAGTGACAGACAATAATTGAGTCAACTAGGAATGCATTTATTGATTCTTTTCACAAGCATTTATTAAGCATTGATATGTGCCAGGGGCTGAGGATACACAGGCGAAAAAAGAAATAGTATCTGCCTTCAAGCCTCTTAACATTCTACTGGGGAGGAAGTAACATGCCCATAGAAAATTAAATATGAAATACATGCAAAATAATTTCTGGGGAGGATGACTGGAATAGCAGCTTATCAGAATAGGCTTCCTGTAGAAGGTGACATTGATTCTAAGAGATGAAGGTGAGAAGGAAGTGTGTTCTAGGCATGATAGATGGCTTGTGCAAAGACATGGAGATGATGCAATGTCATGAACGGCTATAGCAGCTAACAAGCTAATTTGGGTAGAATATAGAGTGTGTGAAGGAGAGTATTGTGTAATAAGCCTGGAAAGATTATACTGGAGGCAGGTTGTGAAGGGCTTTAAAAGCCAAATAGAGGAGTTTTTATTTTATCCTAGATGATATTTAGATTATTTAGAGCAACGAAGCAGACCTCTGCTTTAGGAATGTCAATTTGGCAGCTGTGTGGAGGATGGATTGGAGAGGAGAGAGGCTACAGATCGATTATGAGACTATTTCAGTAGTCGAGGTGAGAGGTCATGAGTGTCTGAACAAGGCTGGTGGTTGTATGAGTGGAGAGAAAGTGACATACGAAGTATTGCATGGGTAGCATCCTTAGGTTTGGACAACAGATTGGATATAGGGGTGAAGGAGAGAGTCCAAAATCACTGAAGTTGTATGCCCTGGTAACTAGAAGGATAGCTGTGTCCCCAGCAGGAATAAGGAAGTTTGGAAGATGGGAGAGTTCAGGGCACTTCGTCCTATAGCTCTTGGTTTGATACTAATGGCATTCATAGATAGTCGCAGAACGAGAGGTGTTTGCTTATAGAAATGACACCACTTTTCTACTACTTTGTATAAAGTGCCTGTACCTCACTGTTCTTCCATAAGCTTTAGGGTGTTTGTGTGTTTTAGGAAGGGAGATACATTTGCTCTATTGTCCCTATGACTATATTGACACAAATGTGTGGCAGCCATTTGTAAGGTAAACGACATTAGATATGTAGCTGTGGCTATGGAACCGAAGGAGGCTTACTGACAAGTATGGGAACAAGGACTAACTTACATGCTTTCTTTGGTGTACGGAATTCCTGGATGAGGAAGGTCTCTCTACCAATGTAGATCAGCACGTTTTCTTCTTACAGGTTAAGTGGTTGTTCAGGGTCACACAGCCAGTGTGTGTCAGAAGCAAGACTTGAACCCAGATCTTGATGCCTTTCTGACATAGCTTAGGAACTCATTAGTGATTTCAGTTTCCTTGGCTATTTCTCCATTTTGCAAGAGGTCAAAATTCTTCAAGTCAATTCAGAACCCCCTCTCCAGTCTTGACCCAGTCCCACCTAACCCTATCAGGTGTATACTAATTAGTCCCACCTTATAACTGAGACAAGTGATCTTCCAGACTCTGTATCCTCAGCCTGCTGCTCTTCAGTACATTTGATTTAGAGCTGCTGCATTGCTTTGCTCTCATGCAATGCTCACTTCCCTGATCCCATTACCCTCTGTAATGTCAGCCTAGTGCCCTTGTGTGTAATTACCATTAATCATCATGGTTATCCTTCCTCTCCCTCTTCCTCCTCTGGTTTCTGTTTTCCACTTCCTGTTGCTGAACTTTTCAGCCTTTTTTACCTCACCTTAGGTAATGACTTGCAGCTAGGATGGAGTCAGGAACATCTGATGGTCTGTCCTCAGACACTTCCTAGCTGTGTGACCCTAGGAAAGTCACTTAACATGTTTAGGTGTCCTTATCTATAAAATGGGGGATAGCACCTATCTCTCAGGATTTTTATGAGGATTGAATGATATCATAATTGTAAAATAGCACAATTCCTAGCACATAGGAAGCACTATATAAATGTTATCATTGTTGCTGTTGTTATTATTATTATTAGTACTATTATAGCACCTAGCTATTAGAGTCAATGCTGTGAGGATCAAATGAGATAATATTTATAAAGCGCATAGCACAGTGCTTGGTGCATAATAATTGCTTCATAAATGCTTATTCCAGCTATCCATTCATATGCACGTGCATGCACACACACCCACACCCACAAACACATACATATACACAGAGTATGGACTTGCTTATTTGCTGGTAGATTGCTCAACTCTCTAAAAGCGGATTTCATCACTCATCAATTATACCTGCTCCTCCTCTGACTTCTATCTTCCTAAACTCTCCATTCATGGCTCTTAAACAAGGAAAGGTGAGACATGGAGTCTAGAATGTACCTATAAACAAGTATCTGATTTCTTTTCTGACACTGACCCACTTTTAAGGTCCTAAATTCAATACAGACATCATCCCTTGTGAGAGTGAGAGGTATTGTGCACGGGAATGTTATCTCTTGGCTATATAGGCAAAGTTTCAGGGCCAAGGCTCTTGCAAAAGTGTTCATGAGCATTAGGAATTGCTGAGTGTTTCTTGGGTTGGAGACTCCACTGTAGGACTGATCCCTAGAACACCACATCAAGAGCTCTCGAAGAAGGTATTAATATTGTATCAGAATCTTCTGTTATCTAATTTTTGGTAAATATTTTTTCAGCCATTAAGCATTTTTCTTCTGCTTCCTCCTGCTCAATGAAAGAAAAAAGAAGGGAGGTAATAAGTGTTTATTAGGCACCTCCCAAATGCTAGACACTGTGCTAAGCACTATACAAATATTATCTTATTTGAAAGAAATACAGAACCCTTGTATCACATTAACAGAGTCAAGCATGCAAATTCCCACATGGGCCATATCTCAAAATCAGTTGCTAATTCTGTGATGAGTCCATCATCTTTGGTGTTGTATTAGCAGAGTTAAGCATGCAAATTCCCGCATCGGCTGTATTCCAAAATGAATTTCTCATTCTGCAGTGAGTCCATCATCTCTCTGACTTGAGGTGGGCAGTTGTTCTTCATCAGACTCCTGGAATTGTGGTTATTTCACTGATCAGAATTGTTCATTTTTATGATATTGATGTTATAGAATAAGTTGTTTTCCTCTTCTGTTATTTGAGAGTGAATCAAAGATGTCATTGAAATCAGAGGGTTTTGCAGAGATTGGGAGTGGGAGGTTTGGGTCTGTATAGCCTATTTCTAGCTTTCCTTCCTGACACCCATATGCCTTCAGAGATCCAACCTGGCTGTTGCTTTTCTTTTTAACAATTATTTTTTAAAAGGACTTTGGGACTTGCTGTGACCTTAGGCTTGTGCTGTGAACTTATAGTCCTACAGATTTTTTAAAATGGCTTTTAAGACAGTGTGTCTTTATGCGGATAATATCTTGTTAGTGTTTTTATTGACATACTAAATGAAGAATTGACAGAAGAGGTCACCAGAAAACTTCTACTTTGTGCAGAATGGCTGAGGCATTGCTTGGTATTGATTAGTGCAACATCACATAGTCAAAGGTTGTTAGAAAATATTCCAGTTAGTTATTCCCCTGTGGAAGCAAGTAAGAGACAAGTGCTCAGATGATGGTGGCTATTTTCTCTGATCTATATTACAATGATGTAAGCTTTGTTTTGTCTTGGCTAGTAGATGTCCACAGGCATTTTGACAGCCAAATAGGACTATAAATCATTGTTTCCTGCTCCCTTTCATGCCCCCCTAGCTTTCAAGGGAAATCTGACATGGTTTCTAAACTCTAATTCACTGGGAAAACATGTTTAATCTGAGTAGGAGATTTTACTTTGGAGATCTGTAGGCTAATTTTTCTCCCTCTGTTCTCATGCAGATTTCAAGAGAAGGGGAATCTGGAAGTCCTGCTTTTCACCATCCAGTCCAGGATGAGGGCCAACAATCAGAAAGTGTACACACCACATGAAGGGAAACTTGTGTCTGACATCAACCGGGTACAGCTGCACTTTCCATTATGCTTTGCCGGGGAGGTTGATTGGGTTCCAGATATTGGTAAAGGGAATTGGTCAATACTGGACTGGGTAAATTAAGCCATCTTCTTTGGTGTTATTGATTCCACATGCAGGTTATTTTGGGGTACTACTTGAAGGCAGTGTTCAGTCAGAATCCATTCACCATCCATCAGCTCAGTCCAGTATATATCCTGATACACGGAATGCATTTCTGGGCGTCTATTTCATTGGTTGCCATCAACAAGAAGTCAGGGACATTTGCTGATAATATTGTTGGCTGTTTCTGTTTTTGCATTACAGAAATCAGTTTATTAAGTACAAGGCACTGTGCTAAGTGTTGGGCATACAAAGAAGAGCAAAAACAGCCCTTTCCGTCAAGGAGCTCATATTCTAACGGAGGAGAAAATGTGCAAAACATTTTTGCAAGATTTTAAAACCCAGGAAATCTTAATAGGTGTATAACATAGGTGAAGGCCAGGCTTTTGAGGCTGCTACGAAGCATCAGAGAAAAACTTGCTCTCAGAAAACTTGGTCATCTGAATACATGGGGCAAAGGCTACTATTATATTACAAGCCTATCCTCATTTATTCAATGGAGTATTGGCTTCTACCCCCACCCCTCTAGTGCCCCAATTATATCGAGTGCCTGTTGAAGAGATGGCACCATACATTTTCATGGAACCCCCATCCTCCCAGTATGTTCCAATTCTAATGCTGGACCTGTTCCTACCTGTAGGCCTGGGAAAGCCTGGAGGAAGCTGAATATCGAAGGGAGCTGGCCCTGAGGAATGAACTCATTCGGCAAGAGAAATTAGAGCAATTGGCCCGGCGCTTTGACCGCAAGGCTGCAATGAGGGAGACGTGGCTCAGTGAGAACCAGCGCCTGGTTGCCCAGGTAATGTTTGGGGTTATTATGAGTAACTCTCAGGTTCCTGGCAGGGAGAGGTCCATAGTAGTCAACCTCTGGGGAAATGAGCTAGCACTAGAGCTGTGGTGCTGGGCAACCCAATAGATTTGGTGGACAGCATCTCGAACATGGATGATTGAGGTGAGCGTTAAAGGTGCAGATCATCCAGACTTTCTTTCTTTCTTTCTTTTTTTTCCAGCCAAAGACAAGGTTTATTAAAGATCTACCATGCTGGCCAGACTCTTAAGGAATCTGAGCATTTGTATTGCTAATGCAAGCGGGCTAGTTCTTAAAAGAATCTGAGCATTGGCTAGACTTTAAAAATCTGAGCCCAGACTTTCTTTAGAAGATCTTCCAATACCGTTGCTTCAGGAGCACATGAGCAAGCCCATCATCTCTTTACCATCCTGTTTGGCTTGCTTCAGAAGTCCTCTTCTTTCATGCTTAGTTGTGACCTTGTTGTTTTTGTTACGTTTTATGCTGTGTAAAGGATGGGGCATGATATGGACAAATCTGGCTGCCTGGCTGTATGCTTAAATATCAGTTCTTTAAAATTTTTTGTTGATCTCCTTGTTTTTATATTACCTTTTCTGAATAAATCCTTCTACCATCCCCTCCTGAGCAAGTTTCTTGTAGAAAAAAAAAAGAATAAAAGCACTTTAGCAAAATGAGAAAAGACACCAGCCAAGCCTGAGAGTAAATGTAGTGTTCCACACCTGTGATCCCCCACCTCTGCAAAGAAGGGAGGGAGGTACATTTCCTTCTCTCTCCACTGGGTCATTCACAAATACGATGTTTCGTTTCATGTTTTTTGCTGTTGTTTTTGCTGTTGTTTTCCACTTCCATTGTTGTGGTTATTGTATGTATATTTTTTCTTGATTCTTCTTATTTCATTCTGTATCAGTTCACCTAAGGCTGCTCATGGTTTTTTGAGTCAGTGTTCATTGTTTCTTATGCTATAATGCTATTCCATTACAGTTACATACCGCAATTTGTATAGCCATTCCTTAATTAATGGAACATGTGCGTTGTTTCCAGTTCTTTGGTATCACAAAAAATGCTGTTATGAGTATTTTAGTATATAATACAACCTTTCATTCTGTCCTCCTGTAACATATTAGCTCTTATCACTTGCTTTTCTAAATTTCTTCCCAGCCTTTTCTTGCTCTGAAAGTACCTACTCCTGAATGAAGATCAGTGCTTTTGGTTTATCTCTTTTCAGGTTCAGTCTAAATTGGAAGTGACCAGAAATCCTTATCTCTTATCTTTAAGGAACCTGGTGGGAGATAAGCAGATTATAGATAGTGAGCCTCATTTCTAGAAAGCTTTGCCGAAGTTGGTTTATATGGGCTGTTAGCTTCAGCTAAAGTGTTATTTGGGTATAGATAAAAGTTCTAGGACATACATATAGTTGGAACTTGTATTTGTGAATGTGTATATGTTAGAGAGAAAGAGCAAGGTGATTTATATATCTATCTATTTATGTATTCATTTATTTTTGCTGGTTCTTCATACTTGCTCCAAGCATAGACTTTGGAGTACAGGATTCTGACATTTATATAATCTGAAATTAACCACAAAGACCTTTTTTCACGGAGAGAATGTCTCTTCTCCATTAACATGCAGATTGAAATTAAGTTAAATTCAGATTAGGAACTGAAAACAATCATTCTGGAAGAATATTTATACATTTGCATATGCAAATGTAAATCCCTATATGTGGAGACCAGACTGTAGGCAAATGGGCTCTTTGCCCTGCCCATATCTAGGAGAAAAAAAAACTATTAAGGGCCAAGCCTGCCAATGTAAAGTTAGTTGAGCACCATCGGCTAAATAATGACACCCCTTAGAAAGTATCTGTGAGTTGCTCAGACTTTCAGAACTTGGCTTAGAATTAGAAAATAAAAAGAGCAAAACTAGTTCCCGCTGGAACTTGTCTGGCAATGTGGTGCAATGAAAAGAGATTGGATTTGGAGTCATATGGCTTGGATTCAAAATCCTTTCTCTGATACTACTTGTGTGACTTCAGTCTCCTCATCTACAAAATGAGGGGGTTTAGGTTACCCTCATGAGCCCTAAGGTCTCTTCCACCTCTAACCTATGATCATTTGAAGTCAGAGCTAGAAATATTTAGAAGTCAGAATGCTGGGATTGGAGTTGAGACATACGTTTGAATCTCATCTCTGAAAAATAGTAGCTTTATGACCCTGGACAAATTATTTAAGTCTTTCTGAGCCCTCGTTTCCTCATATCTCAAATGAGGATAATTGCAATACTTACCCCAGAGGCTTACAGTGGGGCTCAAATAAGAGAATACATAAAAGGTGTTTTGTAAACTTTAAAAGTGTTCTGCTTGTGCTGGAAATTAAAAGTTTCTTTCCAATGACCCACTGGTAAACAGGCGGGTTTCTAACGGTGGCCTTGTTGTGTCTGTATGTGGGTGGGTCTGAATCTGTGGAGCAGACTGTGAGTCTGATGTTCTCACCTCTTGTGTTCTTTCTCTGGTGGGGCAGGATAACTTTGGCTACGACCTGGCTGCTGTGGAAGCAGCCAAGAAGAAGCATGAAGCCATCGAGACGGATACTGCTGCTTATGAGGAGAGGGTGAAGGCTCTGGAGGATCTGGCCCAGGAACTCGAGAAGGAGAACTATCATGACTTGAAGCGCATCAAGGCGAGGAAGGACAACATCCTGCGGATGTGGTCCTACTTGTTGGATCTGCTGCAATCTCGGCGCCAAAGACTGGAGATGACCCTGACCCTGCAGAAGCTCTTCCAAGATATGCTTCACAGCATCGACTGGATAGATGAGATCAAGGTCTGGCCTCTCAGCGGCAGAGCTCTCTCTCCCTTCTTCTCCATTGCCACACCTAACCGCTTTGCCCTGTCACTGAGTTCCTGGGGTGGAGAATAACAACTTTACTATTAATTTATGCTTCTTTGACTCCTTTCATCCAGGAATCACAAACCCTTTTGTAAACACACCAGACTGAAGCCTCCTGGTCCTTCCTGCCCAAGGTTAGGAGGCAGAGTATGGTTGTCGATTTCCCTGGCTCAAGATAGGGAAACAAAGGCACAGTCCTTATCTGTTCCTACCCACAGTTAACCTATACTCTCCCCATGATCTGCATAACTGACTTAAAATTCTCTAAATAGACGTGAATGGCAAAGATAGTAATTCATGACCAAAGGCAAAGGCTGGACCAGGCAATCTCTGAGGTCCTATAGTTTCTGCTTCTTCCAGACAAACTTCTCCACTCCCTCCCCCAACCCACCTGTTAAAGAGTAGACAAGTTGATTTACATTTACCTGCTTGCCTGACCTCTTAATGTTAGCGTTCATGAGCAGTGAGATGTCTGTATAAAAGGGAGGAAGAGCAAGATCAAGAGCCTGAATGTTTGCAGCCACCAATAATCACCACCAGACTGTGTAGCAAGACAGCGACCATGTCTGTACGATATACAGGGTTGCCCACAAGTCCTGTGTCCTCTGTTCCATTTTACCCTTTCCCATATCCTTTGGTCCCAAGCCGCAGTAAGAAGGGTACTTATATTCTAATTGAATCTTCACCGTGAGAATCAACACTGTTTAGTGAGGAGAGAGAGCTGCCCTGGCATCAGAAAGATGAGAAATCACATCCTGCATCTGAAACATACTGACTGTGTGACCAGGAGCAAGTCACTCACTTAGCTCCTCTCAGTGCCCCAGATAACTCTCTAAGACTAGAATTTGCAGAGAAGATGCTGACCTGCATGGGTGGAGTAAATGCCTCACTATACCAAAGAAATCACAGGTTTAGTTTTTAAAGTAAATTCATCTTCGCCACCCTGGTTTAAGTGCTGCTGAATGCTTTCTCCAGAACGGCGTCTCATCTCCTTTCTTCTGGAGAGGTACAGGTATCCTCACTTTATCTCTCTTCCTTCTCAGGTTCACCTCCTGTCCTCTGAGTTTGGAAAGCACTTGTTGGAGGTAGAGGACCTGCTTCAGAAGCACAAGCTGATGGAAGCTGACATTGCCATCCAGGGAGATAAAGTGAAGGCAATCACATCAGCTGCTCTCCAGTTCACAGATGGGAAAGGTTGGGCAAAGGATGCTTCCTCTTGAGATTCCACCTTTCTTCCCCTTCAGTGAAGTTCTCCTAACAGTAAAGCCTACAACAAATTCCCGTTTAGGTCGCAAAGCTCAGTTTCCTCCATCAACTAAGGTTCAATGAAAGGGACTTGAAGGGTGAGGGAACAAATGTCATTAGATGTCCGGCAATTACTGTCAAAAACAGAATTTGAAATGGGATTTGCAAGTACCAGAAAATCCTCACCATTTCACCAAGTTAAGTTCACACATATGAGTCACAAGATGAGAATCATAAATTTCTTAAGGCCAACTACCAATGAGATCTTGTGTCTGTATCTCCCCCCAGGGTTTGGCATGGTGCCCTGTGCAACAGTAGGTGACTAAGTAAATAGTGGATCAGAGAATAGAATGAAAGTCTCCTGGACACCGGTTCTATACAGGAAACACCCTCCTATTTTTTTTTTGGCAATTGGGGGTAAGTGACTTGCCCAGGGTCACACAGCTAGTAAGTGTCAAGTGTTTGGTCTGAGGCCGGATTTGAACTCAGGTCCTCCTGACTTCAGGGCTGGCGCTCTGTCCGCTGCACCACCTAGCTGCCCCCATCCTAGTATGTTTCTAAAGAGTTAATATAGTACCTCAACATCGATTTTAAAACAAAAGAAAAGTGTGAGCACATTTGGAGAAAGGCCCTCCCTCCCACCAATAAAACAGAATCCTACTGTAAGCTCTTAAGTAAATGATTTGGCAAGCAATTATTAAGCACCTACTAGATGCCAGCCCTAGGAATACAAATACAAAATTGTGATAGTCCTTGGCCTCAAAGGGGAAGCAAAAAATATAGGGAAATGGCAGCCAAGGAAGGGAATTGGAGCCCATAGGGCTAGTTGAAGCGAGATGGGATCTCAGAGGACATCAAGTCCATCCACTCCATTTTATACATGAGGAAACTGAGGTCTACAGAAGTCAAGAGTGATTTGCCCAAGGCCATATGGGTATTAAGTGTCAGAGGCAAGATTTGCTAGGATTCTTTCTACTGTTTCTAGTAGCAATGAGAGGACTGATTTGATCATTGTTCCCAGAGCAAGAGGGGTAGGCTACATAAGTGTCAGCATGATGGCAAGATGCCCAAGCTGGGTAGGCCCTCATATCCCAGTGTATGGCTGGGTGAGATGTAAATCATAGTTTAGGGCTGGCTAGATATAGTAGATTCAGGTGAATTTTCACTCCCTTATCTGCCAGAGAGGACAGTCCAGCCCTAAGGCTGAGTCCCAAAGCTTAGAGGGTTTCAACTTATAGCTTCCCTGTATCCCAAAAGACAAAATTAAAACTTGTTTAAAAAGCAACTTCGCTTTCCTCCAGGCCTCTAGCATCCTGGCCTATAGCCCCTCCTTAGGTGGGTTTGTGAGATAAGTGTATATAAGTATACGAGTCAAGAGACCTGAGTGTGAATCCTAACTCTGACATTCATTATCCACTAACTCTGGGCAAGTCATTTATTTCTTCTGTGCCTTGGCTTCACAACCTGAGTAATATTTGCATTATCTGCCTCACTATTATATGGAAGGTGCTTTGTGACTCTGAAGTGCTTTTAGAAATGTGAGTTACTATGGCCAATTTACATCCTTGATTTTAATTTTACGGTGAAAATGAACCTCTTCTCTCTCTCTCTCTCTCTCTCTCTCTCTCTCTCTCTCTCTCTCTCTCTCTCTCTCTCTCTCTCTCTCTCTCTCTCTCTTTCTCTCTCTCTCTCTCTCTCTCCCTCCCCTTTGTTGCCCTTTCCTCCTCACTCAGGTTACCAGCCTTGTGACCCCCAGGTCATCCAGGATCGGGTCAGCCACTTGGAGCTATGCTTTGGGGAGTTAAGCTCGATGGCTGTGGGGAGGAAGGCCCGGCTGGAGCAGTCCAAGCGACTGTGGAAGTTTTTTTGGGATATGGATGAGGCGGAGAGCTGGATCAAGGAGAAGGAGCAGATCTATTCCTCATTGGACTACGGCAAGGACTTGACCAGTGTGTTAATCTTGCAACGTAAGCACAAGGCCTTTGAGGATGAGCTGCGGGACTAGATGCCCACCTGGAGCAGATGATGAAGGAAGCAGAGGAGATGGTGGCCCAGAAGCACTTTGGACACCCACAGATTGAGGCCCGCATCCGGGAGGTGTCTGCCCTGTGGGACCAGCTGAAGGAGCTGGCTGCTTTCCGTAAGAAAAACCTCCAGGATGCTGAGAATTTCTTCCAGTTCCAGGGGGATGCTGATGACCTGAAGGCCTGGCTTCAAGATGCCCACCGCCTGCTCTCAGGAGAGGATGTTGGACAAGATGAAGGGGCTACCCGGGCCCTGGGAAAGAAACATAAGGACTTTCTGGAGGAGCTGGAGGAGAGTCGAGGGGTGATGGAACACCTGGAGCAGCAAGCCCAGAGCTTCCCACAGGAATTCCGGGATTCTCCTGATGTGAACAATAGGCTGCAGGCCCTCCGGGAACTTTACCAGCAGGTGGTAGCCCAGGCTGACCTGCGTCGGCAGAGGCTACAGGACGCCCTGGATTTATATACGGTATTTGGTGAGACAGATGCCTGTGAGCTATGGATGGGGGAGAAGGAGAAGTGGCTGAACCAGATGGAGATCCCAGATACTCTGGAGGACCTAGAGGTGGTACAGCACAGGTCAGAACCAGGTTAACACATCCCTTGCTTCATCCTCACCAAAGCTTTTCTTTTCTTCTTTTTGTTTGCTTTTTTGGTGTGTTTGTTTATGGAGACAGTGGGGTTAAGTGACTAGCCCAGGGTCACACAGCTAGTAAATGTCAAGAATCTGAGGCTAGATTTGAATTCAGGTCCTCCTGACTCCAGGGCCAGTGCTCTATCCACTGTGCCACCCAGTTGCCCCAAAGCCTTTCATTAAGATACTCTATTATTTTGATAACAGGTTCCTCAATAGGATATAGCTCTTGAGACCCCATGTGATGCTGGTGATGCCCTTTTTCCTTCAGAGGCCAGGATGGAGTTTAACATTTTCACCATCACCTCTCACTGGTCCTCAGAAGGACAAATCAGAGTCAGAGTTTAGAATCTGAGCATGGATGCCAGTGGACTAGAAGAAGCTTCTGCCCATAGCAAGTTCTCATTCCCCAGGAAAAACTGGCTTCTGTGCATACTCCTTCTGGATCAGTTCTCTCTTATCCATCTCTACCAGCTACTGAAAAAAAGAGCCATAGTATTTAGTTCTGTAAGGGACCTTAGAGACTGTATGCTCTACTCTCCCTTCTATTTCACAGATGAGTAAATGAAGGCCCAGAGGGGTTAAATAACTTACACAATGTCATACATTCAGCAAGAAGGAGGATCAGAATTCAAACTTAAACCCTCTAACCCCCAATGCAGTGGGAACCACACTGAAGCTGCCTGGCCTGAGGAGGGAAGACGAGGCTGTAGCAAAAGCAATAATGGGGCACCGGCGGGATGGTAGTGGTAACAGGTTGGCCCTCCTGGCAATGTGGCCATTGATAACATCCACCAAACCCTTTGCTCAAACCCTTTCTCCATTCTTCTTCCATTAGGTGAACCCATAACATGCCTAATAACCATCCTTTCTGCTCATGCTTCCCTAAGAGAGGGACTTTTATGACATTAGGCCATGAAATTAAGACTGCAAGTTGGAAATTAGGCTATATTGAAAGATTAACCTCAGTACCAGGAGATTCGAGGTGGAGCCGAGGGATCTGACGGTAGCAAGTTGTCCCAGAGTGACAGTTGGACTTTTCATTAATTTCTTCCCTTTTAAATACAGGAATATGCTGTTTAAGAGGTGGTAGGAAAGAATCAGAAATCTTTCTTCTTTGGGATTTGACCCTACACTTAGTGGTGCTTTTTCTGCTGTTCCTGTTGCTATATTATACCCACGACATTGCAATGTCTGTTTTAGGTTCGACATTCTGGACCAGGAAATGAAGACACTGATGGCCCAGATTGATGGGGTAAATCTTGCTGCAAACAGCCTGGTGGAAAGTGGCCACCCACGTAGTGCAGAAGTGAAGACCTGCCAGGATCATCTGAACCTCAGGTACAGAGCAGGGCTTTACAGTGGAACAATTTCATGTGGTCCCATTTGCATCACTGGTATGGTGAGGCTTGGGTGTTGGGCTGCCCACTTGGCAAGTCTGGCTTACCCTCAGAACAACAGTTAAGTCAGTCATCAAGCACTTATTAAATGCTTACTGTGTGCCAAGTAAGGAATGGCATGGTCTCTACCTCCAAAGGTGCTCACATTTTAATGAGGGAGACAAAATTCAAATAACAAGACTGTTTTCTTTAGCTGCTACACTGTGGGGAATGCCCTTCACCTTGTTTCTCTGCATGCCTCCAAACAGGAGGGGAGATGACGCTCCCACCTGGAATGCATCAAGTTCTCCAGGGAGTGAGTAGGGCTAGAGAAATGTTCATTGAAATGTGAGCAATATGGTCCTGTTTCTGGTTTGTATAGATATTTGTGACAGGAATAGAAGAGTTCTGGAGTGTCTGTGTGTGTGTGTGTATGTGTGCACACGCGCATGCACATTTGTGGAGAGCATCAATTTGAAAATGCCTGGAGACAGAATGAGGCCATATGGTGCATTTGCTGCATTTCCCCTGGGGTTCTTGGCCAGAGGAGAGGGTTTGTACTTTTTTGTGTATCTGTTTTGTTTTTGCTACTGTTACCTTAATGTAGTCCTGAAGTGAAGGGGGTTTTTGCCTGCCTTACACAGTAGCTCCAGCAGTGAGACTGTCCACAGATGATTCTCATGTAGGTGGGCTTGTTAGCTGAAAATGAGAACCCTTATAAAAAAGAGCTCTATTAGAGGGAGATCTTTCAGAGCAGAGTTTAATTGCCTGCTAGTTCCTAAGGGATCCTTGAGGACCGAAAAGTCTTCCATGAATATGCTTTTCTCCCATCGCCTCCTCTTCCCATCCCCATGCACATACAATGAGCCGCTTTTAGGAGGTTAAAACAGAAGAGACTGGGGTGGGAGAGTAGAGAGGGAAATGGAGGCTGTAAGTCTGTGATTAGGCTATGTCAAAAGATTAGACCCAAGAGATTAGAGATATAGGTGAGGGATTTCATAGGAGTTGTAGCCCCAAAGTGGCAGTCATTGTGATATTCCTTTTCACTAATATTTTCAGGCACTATGACAGTGGGATGGGGAAGAGAGAAAGTTAACAAAGCTGGGAGATTCTAAAAGGGTACCCTAGAGAAGGTAGGAGGTAGTGAGTAGAGTATATTGGGACTTTTTAATATAAGGCTGACCACCTATAACTGATAACAAGTAGACACCTCAAAATACAAAAATGGAATATAATTCTAGAAATCCCTTTGTAAGTATTGTGTTGCTATACAGGTCCCATGTCCCATAACTAGATAGATGGTGGATCTCTCTCTCTCTCTCTCTCTCTCTCTCTTTTTTAGGCAATTGGGGTTAAGTGACTTGCCCAGGGTCACACAGCTAGTAAGGGTGGTATTCTTTTCAAAGGCTTATTGCTGTTTTTTGCTTAATTGAGGAAACTAGAGAATCTTTGAACTAGACCAACTTCTAAAGGAAAAAAAAATACCTTATCAGTCAGATGGTTGCTGGTTTAATGAGCTGCAGCCAGAGATCTTTATTCTTAAAGGCTACTAAGTCATTCATCTTCCCGAGTGCTGCAAGATTGTATTACCCTGTTTTTATCTGAGAGAGGCATAGGTAAGGCATATGTTTTCACAGACTTTTAGTCCCACCCATTGACAGGTGGTTACGTAGTCTCTGTTTGAATATGTCTACTGACAGTGACCAGCGCTGGCAAGCAGGCCCTCCTCTGAGGGGGAGATGTCCTCTCTCTTCCTTTCATGGAGGTGTGGCTTTCTTTCAATTTATACCTCACTCTGGGATAGATCTTTATTTTAAAACCTGGGTGCCCCCCCCCCGCAAATGATGGCTACCAGCAGCCTGAAAATGAAAGGATCCACTTGCATCCTGGAGCTTCTTATTAGTTCAAATCTCAAGAGAACTTTTTCTTCCTCTAATGTACTGTGCTTTAAATTAAATATGTGGCTCAAATCCCTAGCTGGTTTCTACTGGTAGATCCAAATTGGTTGGGTTTATGAAATTTTGGTACTTTAAAACTAGCAGTTTTCTAGGTTGTCTTCCCATTTCCCATTTCCTGGTGTCCTTGCTAGTGTTTAAACAGAATTAGCACGGATTTGAATGACTATTCTGATTTTAATATCTTGTCACATACATACTGAGAAAACTTTTTAAAAAAATACCATTTACAGAAATAGCAGTTTTAAAGGCAGCCAAAGCTAACCCCTACAAAGTAGTGGGGAGGAGAAGTGTGGCCGATTTTTCCTCCATCCAGTTCTCCGTTAGGGAACAGGTAAATCGAGGGAATAGATTGGGGGAGATAATAGAGGAAGGATTTCATCCCCCAGGAAAGCACAGGGGGCAATCTCCATGGTGGTCTCACCAACAACCATGTATTGGCATCTCATATGGTTGATGGTAGACTCTGGAGTATGTGTTCCTGGCTCCCTTTCAGACAGTGGTTAAAACTTACAGTACCTGGTACACAGTAGGTGCTTAATAAATGCTTGTTGACTGACTGGCATGCTATTCTTGCTCCAACCTCTGTCATTCTCCACCTGTCCACCAAGTCAGACTCTCCGGTTGTTCTCCCACAGATCCCTTTTTCCAAAGGTGAGGGTAAGCTTAGAAGTCAAAATCATGGTTAGTTGCATTCTCAGTAGTTTGCTGTCAGGTCAGCTCCCAAAACCCCTTGAGGCTTAAGGAATGCTGAGAAAACTCTCTGCTATTAAGGAGCCTGTCCATCTCTGCTTGCTTTATTCCAAGCCTTTTAGAGCAGCATCAGAAGGTTGGGTACACCCATTCCATTTAGGGTAACCCATACTATTATTGAAAACTCTAGTTGTTAAAAAGTTTTTACTAAGTAAATTACTAAGTAATTCAGCTTAAATCTACCTCCCTGTGACTTCTTCCTGTTGGTTTTGGTTCTACCTTTTGGAACTGTACAGATTCAATCTAATTTGCCTTCCACTTGACTGCCCTACAAACATTTGTAGGTAGTGCTCATCGTTCCCCTGGATTTTATACTGACTCTCAATTCCTTCATGCTGTGTTTTATCGACTTGAGACTCTCTCAAGTGAAGCTGGTGAATTCTGGGACAGTGTGTGTTGGAGTCTCCCATATTCATAACAGTGATTGCAATGCAGATAAACTACACACACAGGCAAAGGAGCAGAATACCTTTGATTGAGCCATGTTATTGAAATGAGACTATAGAGGACCTAGGGTGGAGTTTTAGGGTTGGTTTTGATGCAGATTTAAATGGAGACTTTGAGACAAAAGATTTAGAGGGACAGATTGTAAAGGACCTGTATGTAGATGTAGATGTAGCTCATTAATGAAGGGAGGAGAAGCTTAGTCAACTCATTTATTGTCACATTTATTGATTTAATAGAACTCATGGTATATAACTTATTTAGGGCAGGTAGGGATGTTTAGAAGTCACTTAATCCAAGATCCTAATTTTACAAATAAGAAAATTGAGGTTGAGAACATAAAAGTGATTTGCCCAAGGTCACATAGGGAATTAAGGATCAGAAGTAGGATTTGGAACTAATCCTTCTGACTCAGTGTTCTTTATAGTACATCAGAATCTCTCATCCAAACCTAAAACAGTTCTTCCTCCTAGTACCTCCATTAGTGGGGGTTTGAAGTATAATAGGAACAAAAACACCTTAAAAGTAGAGTCTTTGTTTTTTAGCAGCCTTACATATCCTTGGACAAGTAACTTTACCTCTCTAGTTCTCATTTTCTTAATCTTTAAAATGAGTGAATTCAACTAACTGGTCCATAAATTCCCTTCTGTCTCTAAGTGCTTTGATCCTATTTTCTGCCTAGCTTTGTTATAGAATCTGTCCAATAAATGCTTTTTTTAATGAGTGGATGGTCACTTTTCTGTGAACATAATCTAGTGTGTCAACATCCTTCTTAAAATGTGGAAACTTGAACTGAAATAATCCTCCAGACCTGGTCCAATCAGTGAAAAGAGTAAGATTATTACCTCCCCCAATCTATATAATATATATGTTAATATTGACCTTACCCTTTTTTATTTTATTTATTTATTTTTTATATTTTTGCCTTACCCTTTTTATCTGTCATGTCACACTGTTGTTTCATACTGAGTTTGTACTTGCATGAGATTCTCAGGTCTTTTCATGTAAATTGCTATTAAGTCTGGTATCCCCTTGCCATCTCCCTAAGCAGTTAATTTTTAAAATCTGAGTACAGGGTTTTAGATTTATCCCTATCCTCACATTTGGGAGGCAGGCCAGGCTCTTTTTGAAAGTTGATTCTGGAACTTGCTTCCCCTAGGAGAGGAAGAGAGAAGAGACATTATATCAAAAAGGGAAAAGCCTCACACTCATCCTTCTTGGCAAACTTGAGCTTCTGGTTATCATAGTAGTATAGAGGCAATAGCCAAAGTGGCAGTGAGTACTCCTACCATTCTTCTGGCTCCTTACTTAAATTGAATGCTCTTCTTCTAGCCCTTTGTGTTGGTATATACCTTCCTCTCTTGATAACTTCTCGGTCTCTTCCAGGGTGAGGAAAAAATGGTGCCATCCCTTTATGTCCCATCCCCTCTTTCATCCATAGATGATGGCAAGCTTAAAGATTTCCTTCTGGCCAGTGTGTTCACTTTATCTGCTGGTGCATTTCTCTGTGTCAGAGAAGAGAAAAATGGTGCCCTCCTTTCATGACACATCTCTTCTTTCATCCATAGTTTTTGGCAAGCCTAAAGATTCCATTCTGGCCCATGTATTCACTTTATCTCCTGGTGCATTTCTCTGTGTCAGAGAAGAGAAAAATGGTGCCCTCCTTTCATGATACATGTCCTCTTTCATCCAGAGATAATGACAAGCCAAAAGATTCCATTCTGGCCAGTGAATTCACTTCCCTGTGTCAGAGAGGTATTCAGGGTTTAAGTACTCATACTCTGTATATTGATATTAGGTAGTATTCATG